ATATGTTTTTTTTTACTGACTGCACTGAGGGTTGTTCTTTAAGCAAACTGCATGTTTTAGAGTCTGTGCAGCAGGCAATTAATCACTAAATTATCGATGATTATTAATAAGTGAGTGATTATTCATCTGAAGTGATGTATTTTCACAGTTTGAGTCAGCAAGAGCTAATGATATTGAAGGAGCATCTTCTTTTAAAGTAAGACATTTTAACCACTTACTGGAGTTTAAAGTTAGGGAAACTGTATTGGTAAGGAAAACACTAGGAATAGGATTCAACCAAACTTTGTTGGTTTTGATCCACATAGCATCGGAAGAGACTTGTGATCTTGCATAATAAATCCCCTGTACACATCTCTTCTTAGTAAGTGGGCACACAAAAGACATCAACAGCTAATAAAACATTTGTTTTATATATTTTTAAGTACTATTTGAATCTTTTCTAACATGAATGAAACAAATAAACTTTAAAACGAGACATTTAACCATAAAGATCCTGAATTTGAGAGCCTCTGCTTTACACCACCTGTTAATTCAGGGTTTATTTGGTCAATTTATAATAAATATTCCCTGGTTCAAAGCAACAACAAAATCAGTTCATGGCCATTTACAAGCAGAAGCTTAAAGAAAATGTTGTGCCAGCCATTCTGTTTGGAATCCAGCACATTAATGCACATCCTACCTCAAGTAAACACATTGTTGAACACTTAGCCACACAAAAACACACATTTTTATAAGATTTCATTCTGTCAAATATGTTTTCCCACTTCAATTCACCCTTAAATATATTTGAACTCAAAAATAGCTTGTTTTAGCTCATCACTACAACTATTGCAGAATTTAACTCCTTTATTTGAGCTCTTAACCCTTTATATGGCACTCAGTGAAAGACTTTAAATATCTAAATTTCAAGTAAAGAGTGCACTGCAAAAAACTGAAATCTAAGTACTGTAAGTAACTTTTCTTAAAAAAGGTGTATTTTTTCTTGAATTGAGCAGATAAGTGAGACCCTTTGCAAATGGAATAATAAAATGTACATTTAGAATAAGGAAAAAAAATGCAGTCTCCTATTTCAACTGCATAATATCAAATAATCTGATTTTAAGGATAACAATGCTCCTTCAATAGGAGATGTTCTCGTTTACCTACTCAAATTGAAGGTAAATACACTTATTTTAAGACATTTTCACAAATTTTTAGATCATTTTTGTAGTATGTAATTGGAATCCAGGATAAGACCTTATTACCTTTGTAACATTCAAAAAACATGGATATTTTGATGGCAAAAATGATTGTCAATTTAATAACAAGAAACGCCAAGTTGCCCAAATATGTTAAGAAAAATAACAAAAGCGCTTCTATAAGAAATTCATGAAGAACACAGAGAGTGAAAGAAACACATATTTTTGGGTACAACATAACATTAGAGGCTTATTAACTTTTTAACTTTACTTTTTAACTTTTCAATTAGCTTTTTACCTTTTTTTCTTGGCTTAACTTTTTTTTTTTTACCTTTATTTACAGTAGGTGATATATCATTCAAGTTCTCATCTAATTGCTAAAATGCCTGTATATATACACACATACACACACTCTCCCGAGATTTTTTTATACTTGCAACACCAAATTCAGCTACACGATGGCGCCAGAGTCAAACAAATGAAAAGCAGGTATTTCATAATTGTTGGGAAAGAGGAAATTTATCAACATCAAAAAGCCAGTGCGCACCACTGCCTCATTGCCTCATCAGACAGTATCTCCATCGCGTCATTTCATTGCTGTTGCATCCGCGCTCCCTTTATGTTGCAACCCTTGCTTTTGCAGCTATAATATATTTAAACCTACAGCAAATGTCCAGCTTTTAGAAAAAGACTCTGAGAGAAAAGAATAAGTGCCAGGATCACAGCATCCCCTCAGCATCACTGTCGACTGACCTCATTGTTGTAAAAGCTTGTGTTGGGCAGCTTATAGCTGCGGTGCTAGATTGGCTGTTATAATGAACAGAGCCCATCCTGTGTGACATCATTGCGTTTGGCGCTTTGGAGATCTGTAGCACCTCCTCTCTGCTCCTCACATCCACTTGGAGACGCCCGAGCGAGTAGTTGATCACAGAGCGCACCCAGGAAGGAGGCGGATCCAGATAGTAAGGGCAAACCGGAGCTGGAGAGCAGCATTGTGCGGGACGATCACCAAAGAGGATCTATCCATCTGCTGCTTTCGGGCTTTTACACCCGTCATCATCTCCAGGATCCAGTTTTACGCTCTTGTCTCTGTCCCAGACGTGTGCGTCCAAGCCGCGCATCCTTTTGGAGATGTCCACGAATGGCCAAGCCGAACCGGAGAACCGGTCGGGTCATCAAGATGCTCTGGGCACCGCGACTCGCCTCCCCTGTATCTCCACGGAGTCTGTAGAATGAAGGAGGTTTAAGGTTTTGTCTCAGACCGGAGCGCAAAGATGACGGTGCCGTTGCTGAAGATCGGGGTTGTGCTGAGCACCATGGCGATGATTACCAACTGGATGTCGCAGACCCTCCCCTCTTTGGTGGGGCTTAATACTACCAGGCTGACAGCGGCGCAGGGAGGGTACCCAGACCGGAGCACGGGAGTAAGTTCTATCCTTTCCCCAAAACTGATACCACGGGAGAATTGATAAACAATAACAGGGGGAAAAAATGATTGGTTAATAATTTCAAAATGAAATCTTATCTTGCGCAAGGACTTTCCAATGATTTGGACATTACAGATTCATTCTCCACATTTTGAGCTGCTGCGTAAAAATGTAAAGTTGCTAATTACCCCCCAGATTTCCCCCCCAATTAAGTAAGAATTGAAGAAATCATGAGAAAACGCATGCAAAAGAAAAATAAAGCGCGCGCCTATGTCCCTCTTTTAGATCAGTAGGAGACTTCATTCGGCATGAATGAAAGGAGGCGCTCAAAGCCAAGGCTTTATCAGATACCATCTCCATGGTTTATCATCTTGCCAGATAGTTAAAAACTATTTTGTAGATTTTTGGCAGGAGATACAAAAATAGGCATGATTACATATTTTTTTATTTTTAATTAAAAATGAGGGGTTTAGAAAGTTTAATGCAACGTCAAAATGGGTCCCACATAAGGGTTAGTATGGCTATTATAATTTCAAAACCATATATTTATCTGGTTGTCTTCAAAAGCAGAGATGTGGGTTATATTTAGAAGAGGGAGACATTTTCAAAAGGATCAAAAGATGACAGGAACATAAATAGGCATCAATTAATTGAGGTTTAACTCATTGACATTCATCCTTTCCTCTCTCAAAATCAACATTCAGTTCAAAAATTCTGATGATCAAGAATGCCTGGAAGCAGCAGATTTCTAGCGCCGTCCATTGCCCCTCACCCACCCCTCCAACTGTCTTTATGATGCCTGTGCATGTAGAGATTTGGAAATCCTTTAAAAATATTATTTTGGTGTTGCATCTTTCCCTCAATCAGGTCAGATGGGGATCAACAACTCAAATCTTGAAACAAAAAACGTTTCTTTATCTTAAATATATTTTAAAAGTAAGAATTTACAAGATGCTCCTAAGCAGTGTATGCACAACAATGCACTATTGAATTCCTTCAAAATAGGCAGATGTCCTGAGCATATATTTTGAATCTAATGGCTATACCATTTTTTATTTTCATTTTTTTCTTTTTTTTTGTGTGTTGCAGTCTTATTATTATTTTTTTTTATTTTATCATTCAGGGCCAGGAAAAACTTGACCCCTGAATCTTTAATCTTTTGTCTTGTAGTGAGGAACTACTCTGTTTTATCCTCATTTCTCTGTATAACAACACCTCTCTAGTTGGATTAAAAAGCAGCTGGCACACAGTCTGACACCCAGCCATGAATGTCTTAAAAAAGCCACCTCTTTTCTCTTATCCCACCAACAGGATAGTAAATGGATTAGTCATGTCCCATGTGATGATTAAAAAAAACAAAAAAACCGAATGACATCATAAGCCTCCAGTTGTAGAGCCGTGACAATCAGCAGCACAATGAATAAGGCCTCTTTTTTTCCCCTCACTGTCAACATTTTCAACATAATTTTTAAATTCATAAAAGTGCAAAAAAAGAATGTCTGCAGATTCTTTAGGAAGCGGTATCAGATTTTAATACATTAAAAAATGCTCCTTATAAAAAAAAAAAATCTCAACCTGACCGATTTATGGTCTGAAAATGGTTAAACTTCATAGGTTTGAAAGGAGAACTGAATAGGAAGAGAAAAACTGCCAATCCTCGGTGAGAACAGATCTTTAGAAAAAAACAATCTGATCCTGATTTCTGGTCAGAAAAAAACAACACAAAAAAACTTCCTTGACCACTGTCCAATTTACAGTTACCCTGTGGATGAAATAGAAATCCATCTGGACTCCATCTGGAAGCAAAACATTAAATAAATTAATTGATTCTGTTAATTTAGTTTTCAGCTGATGAATGTCTTTCTTCATATGCATACAAGTGGCTCGTTTGTAAATCCTTGTTCTCTTGGGGCCACACGGGCATCAGGGAACCCCGAGCAGTTGCAGCTGGCTTGACCCTCAAGCTGACTCTAAATAACAGTAGTAGCTTTGGCATTTCTTCAATAAAATGTTTTATTGAGGTTCAGCACCTGGAAACGTTTCTTAAATCCCAAGCAACAAAAGGCTTTCTTGGACAATTATTGTAACTTTCTTGGTAAACGTTGTCTGTGGACAAGTCGGTGTATAGTTTCCATGGTAACAATCTACTGTAGGTCAATAGATTTCAAGCAGAAATGTTTTATAATATCTGTATAGTTTGAAAATCATAAGATAATAAACTGGTGGCAACTAATCTTGCCACCAGTTTATTATTGCAGGATCCCAACCTTGATTACTTAGACTATTTCACAGAACAAACAAACTTAATATTACTATACCCTTAATACAATTATTTTCTATGCAGTTTGCTGCTATTAAGCATTTTTCTCTTTTTTATCCCCTATTTTGTATGAAGGTTTTGCCAGCAAACCCAGAGGAGTCGTGGCAGGTGTACAGTTCTGCCCAGGATAGTGAAGGAAGGTGTGTCTGCACCGTGGTGGCACCCCAGCAGTCCATGTGCTCGCGGGATGCCCGCACCAAACAACTGCGGCAGCTGCTGGAGAAGGTAATTGCTTGGTTAAATACCTGGCAACAGCAATCAATGTCTCACAGTACCCAGGGTAACCATTTTACCCTTTCTCTCACACACACAAAGAGATGGTGTCCCAGTCGCCACACTCAATACGGGACAAGAATAGAAATCATCCGTCTAATGAGCTCCCTGGGAACCCATGTTATCATGGGAGGCAGTTGAACGCTGAACTTAAATTGTGCTGCGTTCACCCAGAACAACATATCTAATGATGCAACACAGCTTAACACCAAGGCTCGGAGCTAAGACACCATCCTTAGCAGATAAGCTAATCAGAAATAATGGAGATTTGCTGATTTACATGAGCCGACATTAAGAGATCCCTCTTAGGTTAGTGAGTGTGTCAAGTGAAACATTTTTGAAGAGAAAAATGTTGGAACAGCGTGCCTTCTTCACTTCTAAGGCCCCCAACTTGTTGGCCTGATGTCAGTTTGTGAATCACCACAAAACAAATGCTAAGCCAAAAGCAACATATTGAAAGCCTGTTGCTTTTTTCTCAACAGTATACACCTAAAAACAATGTGTTTTTACCGGATCCCCAGGTCCAAAACATGACGCAGTCCATCCAGGTGCTGGATCAGCGCACCCAGAGGGACCTTCAGTATGTAGAGAAGATGGAGTCCCAGCTCCGTGGCCTGGAGACGAAGTTCAGGCAGGTGGAGGAGAACCACAAGCAGAACATCGCTAAGCAATACAAGGTATGGAGCCACTTTTGCAGCGATCCATCCTAACATCATACCCTCATAGATGCATTGTTACTCTGTGTTAACAGCTTAACCCATTCTGTGTTGTCTCTAAGTAGAAAGAGCATAGAATCATTACCTTCATAATAGTGCACATTCAAATATGCCTCATTAAATATGTAAATATTTAAATATTTATTGTCTCGGCATAAAAGTAGCTTACAAACGACATACCATATAGCTGTATAATTATACCGAATAAATAGATGGAATATATCTGCAAATAAAACAATTGTTTTGAGTAAATTGTTTTGCACTTAAGTCTGTCTCTGAAATCGATGCTGCCGATTGTATTTGGTCACATTCTGATACTTTATGCATGAGGTCCTCTTATATCTCTGCCTTTTTGCTACATTTCAATTTAGTCAACTCACCACCTTTAAATCATTGAGCTCTCCCTGTTAAATTGGCCTAAAACCAAACAGCGCTGCACTTCTGTTTGGCTTTGCGGTTAAATCCATGACATTTAAATCAATAGACGCTCATCGAAATGCATTTGGTTGAATATACCAAGGTAAGCGCTTGGAGATAAACGCCTCTTAAGTCAGCTTGCCTTTAAAAACATGCAGCAACAAGAAGTTGTCTGTAGAAGAAAATGCATATTATCAAATTAACAGTTTGAGCTGCTAAGCACAGCATGGTCAGACCAAACAAATAAGTAATAACTTTCAAATATTTCATATTAAGGGTGTAGCAATAAATCCAGCTCACTACTGTAGATGACACAATATGATGCACTATATTAGGTTCACAATAAGGCTGCACAATATTACGAAAACCTGCGTTATGCAATAACAGTGCATAATATTGCAATAATGATATTACCTGCAATATATGAATAATTAGTTACGGTGGATCCATAAAGTTATTACTTTTCCTACATTTTTTATAACAGTCTTATTCCAGATTGTATTAAATAGATCTTTTGCCTGTGAAATGCTTGGAATCCATTATGTATGCAGTGTTAATGTCTTTCTGCTATGGATTCCTAGCAGAAAAATAAAGAAATAATAACAACAAGTACTTAAAAGGGCATGTTTTTTACATCTGTGGAATGGGGATATGGGATAAGTGATTCCATGACGGGATGTGGCATCTCCTGTCCATTTTGTTTATCAGACTGATGAACCTGTCAGTTCACCATATTCATGGTCTCCTTTAATTATTTGAACTGCTTTGAGGTTTTCTCATTTGCAAGACTCTGATACCCAGACAATTGTCTGACTGCTGCACTACATTATTAACTTTTCAGCAGTAAGAAGTCTTTACAACGAATTGTTTTATATGTGATACTGAGCCTTTATACCGAGCTTCCCAGAGCAGGCAGGCAGGAGGCCGCATGGTGTTACAGCTGCTGTGTGCAGCACTGACAGGTGTGCTTTGGGTACCTGGTGGAGAAGTAATGACACCAGATGATTAACTAGCTCATCATTCTTGCTATAACCACTACCCTTCTGCATCCCACTCACAAAAAGCGTGGAGAATAGAGTAATATGTCGCCCTCACAGTATGTAGAGTTTAGGCCAAGTGTGTGGGAGCCTGTAGCTATGTTTGCAACCTTCATTTTGCTAGCTCCAACAGTTTTCAACTCTTGCTACAACTTCTTGTGGTTGTATTTAATTTCACACATGAGATCAGTCTCATGGTTGCTGTAAGTGCTGAATGTGTTTCACAGAGTTCCTGATTTTGAAGAACGTCGTCTATTTTATAGTAGAATACAGATTTCCATCTGATTAGCCAAATATGTGAGGGGCTTCATTTGATTTATCAAATATGTCAACAATGTGATTGACAAAACACTTATAATGGGTAAATGCAAACATCTGAGGAAGTCTGTTATCAATGTTAGCATTTTTGTGCGCTACGCTTATTACACAGGTGGTTATCGCAATTACAACCTCATTATAAATGTTTAATATTGTGCAGCCTTAAATCACAAGAATAATTAAAAAAATCACGTTTTGAGATTCATTGGAGAAAAGTAAATCTAAAGTTTTGTTACTTTACAAATAAAATTTTAAATGTGATTGTAAAGATCTATGATGAACACAGAAGGATCCAGTACGGAAATGGTGATTCTGTACGTTGAATGCTCAGCCTAATATGCACTCAACTCCGTGTTGGCTATAATTATGGATTTCCCTAAAACGTACTCACACATTAAAAGTGTTACACATTAAAACTTTCTGATGCATACTAACAGTAAAACATTCATTTTAATCTAATTGTTATTCTTAATTGGTGGTATCAATATAATCCAAAAATACATTTAAAATACTCTTCTGTGTGTTTCTTACATTTGCAGTAGAAGTATGTAGTTCAGGATAAACCAATTTTAAGTATTTTAAATTTTGATGCAGGAAGTATAACATGCAGTCCAATAAGGAAACTTAAAAGCAGTTTCAATATAATGAGTCAACTACTACTAATTTATCTAAATTAGCATTTCTAATATAGTTCTTAAAGCTCGTTTAGCATTAGCTTCTTCTAGGTCAATAGAGTTGAGTAATGTCCGCCGAGTTCTCCTTAAATGTAACAGAACATCTCAACAACTACTTTCTTTATTTAAAAATAAGTTTCAAAAACAGATATATGTTAGAAATTTGAAATAAATGTAGTTATGTGCACATCCATAAAACATAGAGTTCTTCAGCATCTTTAGCTTTAGCATTGTATCTAAAGTAGCTTCTGTTTTCATATAGTCTGTCTTCTACATCTCCTTGTGTCTCTTTCTGTCACTTATGCATGCATTGTAAATACCTCATTTGGCCATGTTCAGTGCATGCGCGGAATTTACTGTAACACATCAAGTGCGTTCAACTAAATATGTGTGTGCCTTTGTGTGTCTCTTGAGTCAGGTTAGAAAGCTCTAGCCCCTGTCAACAGTCTTTCATTTTCTTGCTTGCAGGGCTAACTTTAAGACATGTAAAGAGAGCCACAGGGAAGAAGAGGCAGGTCAATTCCAGATTCCCCCCCCTGAACTGCGCCACAGTACTGAGAGTGTTTGGGCATCAAACAGTTAATTTACCCTTAGCATCATTAAGATTAAGAGACCCTCTCACCCTTCTCCCAAACCAACCCACTACTGATCTATTCCTGCATGTTACTGCTGTCAACGTTTTCCATCTTAAAAGCTTTTTGCTGGCGTGAATACATTATTTTTATTATTATTATTATTATTATTATTATTATTATTATTATTATTATTATTATTAATTGGTGTTAGTCATTTTTATTTTGGCTTTTGTCTATGCATATTTGGTTAATCAGCAACTCTTAACGTAAAGCTCTAGTCGTATAAATTCGAGACACTTTGTTGTGTGTGACATGTAAAGCATGTAACCCTTAATACGATGTTGCATTTTGAACGTTGATGACCAATAAAGAGCTTTCCCAATTGTTGTCCGTGTACTGAGGGCTTGCTTTTTTATAAACGGCTGTTTGCCACTTTGGGGACAGGAGGCCCCCCCTGTTCTGCTCGTCCGAGAGGGTGGAAACTATCCTTCAGGTGTTTCGATCAGACACACACCAGCACAGACAAATCATAAAAACAAAGACGGCTGTACACGTGACACACAAACAACAAACACGGACACAAGTAGTAAAGAAGCAGGGCAGAGATAGAGTAGCCAGGCTCAGACAGGTGTTTTGTTTTGTTACTTTTCTTTCCTTTCTTTTCTGGACAACGGGTCTCCCTTTGTTGGGCCTGACACTCAACCGAGCTTATTCTAATCCTTTCAGGCCATAAAGGCGAAAATGGAGGAGCTTAGGCCGTTGATACCAGTGTTGGAGGAGTACAAAGCCGATGCCAAATTGGTATTGCAATTTAAGGAGGAGGTCCGAAATCTGACGTCAGTTCTAAGCGAGCTACAAGAAGAGATGGGGGCCTATGACTACGAGGAGCTCCACAACAGAGTGTCAAATCTTGAGGAGAGACTGCGAGCATGCATGCAAAAATTAGGTAGGCACAGAAAGTTGTTGGCACACACTTTGCTTCAAATATGTGCATGCACACATACTGACGTTTAATAATTTCTGGGCTAATTTTTAAATTAGCCCAGAAATTATTTTCCATTATACACATTATGAAGGATGCAAGGGAATATTTTTGGTGGCTTGATTCCTTAAGTCCCACCCGACACCTCACTACCCCAAAATTCCCCAAAAGACAGTTTTATATCAACAAAAAAAACATAACTCTTGTAAGTGCTGCATGGTTTTGCAGCTCAGCTTATATTTCTTAGCACCCTGATAACATATACCAATGATTTAAATATTAGGGTTCTGCTTGTTTCCATTCTTTATTATAAAATAGCACATAATAATAGTTAAAAAAAATAAAATTGTGCTTATTGTGTTAGCTCACACAGAAGAAATCAGAAATATACAGCTTTTGATGGAAAAAAATGCAAAAAAAGATAAGTTAAAAACATTAAATGCTTTAGTAGAAACATTATTGGAACAGTTGTTGGTACCCCTGACAACCCCTTTTTGATAAAGAAAAATAATATATAATACACAATCTTCTCCTGCAGTTTGCTTGTAAAAGGATCCATATTTAGGTTTCTGCTTTTTCCAAAAACATGAAGAAAAGGGACATAAACAATCTTTAATGCTCACTGTCTGAGAACTTAAGGACTGAGTAGCATCTCATTGTATACTGTCCTGACAACAACCATTAGATCACATCAATATTGTGTTTGTTTTAAGAAACAACCTTGAGGGTTTTAAAATTAAAGAAAAAAATCAAATCATTTAGAAACCTTTTGTCAACCTCTAAGCACGGTGGAGGATATGTGATGCTGTCTTACTCAAATAGCCTATAAAGCTTGGTAAGAATCCTCAGAGATGCTTTCAAATACCAGAAGATACTGCTAGTCTACTAGTACACAATATGGGTCATTAAAGGGGTGGGATAAGAAGTCAAAAACTAAAGGCAAATCAATTGAGAAATGATAAACCAGCCACTAATTCAACTTTCATAGAGGTCTCAATCTAAAGACCAATAATCTTCACAAAAAAACTTTTGAAGAAGTGAAGGCAGGAGAAAATAAATGGATTCTGGAAGATCTAGACAGTCTGTGCAAAAAGGGAAAACTAAGTAAACTTGAAGGATTATGCAACAGAAATAGAAGACAAATGCATTTTTAATGTTTCCTTATATCTCTCCCAGTGCGTGAGCATTGCCTTCCTTTTTTTTTTTACATTTTAGGAAAAATAATGTGACATCCTGCTATTAAAATAGTCCCTCATCTCAGCCTTCCTAATATGGGTTCTTTAACAAAGAAATATTATCATGACAGTATTATTAATCACGCCCCATCTCAAAGCAGCACACAAGAACATGCACATAAAGACAGCTGCACTGCTCACGTGTATTCACCTCATAAGTTGTGATCTCAGTCTTTTCTTCGTTTTTAGCCCCTTCCTCAGTCTCTTCACACTTCTGACACAGCGCACGGTGCTAATAGATGCACACCCACATGGTGACTAAGACATATTACAAGAGTGGAGACACTCGGCACATCGCGGGTATATTGTGTCCCTGTTTGAATAATTCACAGTGCAAGATGACGGAGGGAAATTCAGAAAAAAAGTGTTTCAGCTACAATGATCTCTGTTAACTCATTTCAGCTCACTTGCCTCTTCTTTTGTTGTTTTATATGAGCAGAAAGCAATAGATAAATGTTTCCAAAAGAATTTATTTTTGAAATATATAAGGCAGTTTTCAATTGAGGAATCCCTTTATCAAAGGAAACAAGCTTTCCAAATCAGAATGGCACTATGTTAAAATGTAATTTCCCCTTCGAGTTAAATTAAATGGAAACTAAGATTAATTACATTTTTCGTTCACTTTCACGAGCCACCCCAGACCTTATTACGATCAGACCTGAGGAATCAATAACTTGCTTAAATCGAATCAGTGCGTCAATATCAAGTAGATGAAAATATCTCAGAAAGCGGCAGATTGTGCTTGAGATTGATGTCATGCCTGTTAAAAATCAGTCTTTGACATCAATCAGTGCAGAGAAGGTTCCAAATTCATTTTTTAGGCTCCAGGATTCCTCTAAACTACACCGAGAGACATTATCCTCAAATCGTGAAACCATTTAAGAGTAATGACTGTCCTAGATGTGGTTGGCCAACCAATATTATTCGTAAAAGCATATCGACAATTCATCCAGGAGGTCACAAATGAGCTCAGTTGTCACACCCATGGGATGAATTTCTGTGTTTACAATTTATCAAAAAGACACTGAGTACAAATTAGTCGCTTTTTACCTACCGTTATTCCAAAAATATTAAAAACGTTTAATAAAAACAAACCACTGGACCTTGTTTCCAAGTTTGAAGATGTTTCGCTTCCCATCCAGGAAACTTTCTCAATTAAAAATGTCATCAAAAGCAAAGAGTAGCCCAACAAAGCTTTGTGTTGGCTAAGAAAACATGCAAATTGAACCACAAAAAACAGGTCCACCCCTCAGTAATGGGGAGTTGTTGAGGTCACTGTTGGCCTGCAATACCACATACTGGCCTATGCTTCTGAAAAGGGAGACGTTAGGGTCAATGTTGGCCGGGCTGACCAGGTGAAATGTTTTGGTCCCCTGGATAGTGATTAGGGTTTAGACAGGTTTGCGTATATAAGCTGTAAAATATGAATAAAGATGCTATGACAGAAAAAATTTGATTGACAGATAACCGTTGATATATGTCATATATATATATATATATATATATATATATATATATATATATATATATATATATATATATATATATATATATATATATATAAATATATATGTCAGCTTGTACACAGCTTTAGGTGTACAAGCTGACGTATAACTAACTGGCCTGCATAAGATAACGAAAAAAAGCAGATTTTAAGACTGAATTTTGTTTTTAATAGAAATTTTCTGACTTTTGGGACAATATCGTCTGATAAAAAGTACATTTATATTCATGTTTAAGCCAGAATGATTTGACATTTAAATATGACCTCCCTACGACTTAAAGTTTGTCTTTTTCTCTCTTAACATAAATGGCTTCCCACCTTTGCTGCGTTAGGATCTGGCGGACTTCTCATAATGTACTGACCCAAGATTTTTGCCTTTTAACTGAACTTTTTAACAGGAAACCATTCAGCCAATGGTTTGGATTCTCTAGTTCGTCTACACAGAGGTTAAAAGGCATGGCAATGATCCAAAAATCACTAGTAATTACTCCTCCGAAAGGCTCAAATATCAAATTCTGCTTGTCTTGGAAGGATATTTGTTGACTGTGCTATATCAGTAATGTGTGGAAACAAAAGATAAAAAAAGGAAACCTATACCTACACATTTATTTTACAAGCCAACTCCAACCCACGAAGCTCCAGTGTGGGGCCAGAAACCTTTCTGTGTTTCAGCTCCCAGTTCGCTGAACACGCCACTCCTCATGTCTGTGGTTAGGCAGCTGAAGAGAGGGGAGCTGGGACCTTTGGGATGGAACGACAGTGTGTGCGAGATCAGAGGAGAGAGAGGCGAGGTCACACAGCGAAACACTGGCTTAGGCAGAACAGAGGATGGCTCTCTGTTTCATCTTTCCATGCTCGCTAAAGCTCTCATGCATAGTGTACAAAAAAATACACTACAGTTCCATACTGCTATACAGAGATTAAACTGCCCAAGGTCAGCAGCCTTATTTGCATTTCAACAACAGGGAGGAAAAAAAGGCAGGGGAGAAGCAAAAAATGTAGCTCTGATAGACAGGAAGGGCTGTTGGAGGGGTGGTAATGGAATGGAGTAAGTGAAAAAGCAGGAAAAGTGAATGAGAGTGAATAGAGTCTCTGCTGAGCTGTCCTTCAAGCTGTTTTGTGCCAGAGAGACTAACGGCCCCACGGCTGTCGGGACACAATGGCCATCGATCATGTGGACATGCCAGCTTGCTGGGCAATAATCAAATAAATAAATCTCTCTAGTCACTGTGCCCCTGCAATGTGGATGCACACAGAGCCTCAGGCAAGTGGATCCTCTACACACTAAAAACACTGATGGATGGGGCACAAATACCTCGGCTGCCTGCTCTAAGACAGCTCATTCTCTCTATTCTCTTTATTTGGAAGGTAAATAACAAAAATCTCAATATGTCTGCACCTACACTGTAACATCAAATTCAAACAAGATTATTCAACAGTTGATGATTTAAAGCCTGCATATCAGTTTTTGTTTAAAATCTAAAAATAATCTTTTTTTCTTTCTTTACATCATCAATTAAACTGTTTTTAATGTATCTTTTTGTCAAAAACATTTATGTTGAAAACTTTATAATACATATCATATTAATTTTATATCACAGACAAAAAAAATAAGGGTAATTCTGATGAACAAATCAGTTTCTAACTGATTGTAATTTCATTTCATTATAGAGATAGAAAATTTTGAAAAAACTTAAAATTTGTTGCATACCTTTGACTCAATAGATTATTCCATCTTTAATCCAAGCTCTAGTTAAAACTGGGTGGCAAGGCTTTTTCTTAGGTGAACACGATCTTTTCATCCAACAATGATACCCCCTCCTCTTTCCAGATACTCTTTAAACCACTTTGTTTTCATGGCTGTCTCTCGATAACTCGAGTTTCTGTCCTGCTTTATGGATTTTCCATTGTGCAGAGGTCTCTCAATAACCTTTACTTGCTTGTTCTTTAGCCACCCCTATTGTTGTCTTAGAAGGGCCTCTTGGGTTATTACCATGCAGGGAGACTCACCTGTGACCCGTCTTTTGTCCTCTCATTCTGAACCCAGCAGTGGATAACATGTCCATTGGTCCTTCAACAAAGAGGATTTACTTTCACAGCAAAACAGACTCAAAACATGTTTCCGCACCTCCTTCCATGACAGGAATGACAGGAAATTATTTTCCTTCATACACGTGAGATTTAGCTGAAGCTGGAAAAACTTTGGTTTTTAGGCTCATTTAACCACAGTGCCTTCTTCAGAGCTTTCTTGGAATCATTGGGACTTAAACTTGGAAATCTAAGACTGGCATGTACGATTCCAAACCATTATGATCAGGTGTGTTACAGTATGTGCATTCTTGGTGACTGATGTCCGGGCTGGCTTCAAATCATCATCAACAAACTCCTGTTTAGCTTCAGGTTTAATCCCTCAAATCAGCCATGATTGCCCTCACCACATGAGCGAAGACCACGTATGGAGCTTTAGGCCAAAGGTGACCAAAAATCAAGTTGTATGTTTTCCATAATCTCTCCAACAGCGATCACATTCTCATAAAGTATCTAGATCGTGTTTTGTAGTCCATTTGAAAATGTAGAGAATCAGCTATCTTGACCCCAAGTCTCCACTCTGTCTATGGTTGTGGACGGATTGGTAACTGAAGAAAGGCATTCTGAGGACTTGTATGCAGACACATGTAATCCATTAAGGTCAGTCATATCTGTAATTTCTAAACTAATGAATTTGGGTCAACATGGGCACATAACTAATTTATATAGGAGAATTGTGGGAGATTAGCAGGTACAAAAATGCATTTGCTGAGTGAAGTGCAGACCTTTCAGTTTTGATCGATTTCAGCTCCAAACTGTGGACAAAAGCTGTATTGTTAAGACATTTCTAATGAGAACCAGTGTGCTAAAGACTATAGTGTAATAAAATCCTGAACTCCTACTCAGTCGGGGTCCGTTTCACAAAGCAGGTTTACTGAAAACTATGTTTTTTAAACCTGAAATCAGGTAAGCCCTGAGTTTTATGTTTCAAAAGGAGTTTACTCAACTTTTGTTTCTGTTACAGCAGTAAAATTCTCCCCAGAGCTAACCTGGTCGTTACCCTCCGCCAATGCTGTTATTTTATTTCCTAATTTAGTCACATTGTTGTGTGATAACAGCATTATAGAAAACATCTGCACAGTCAAACAGGACCAGTCCCATAGAATGGCTTCAGACTGTGGTTCCCCTACCCTCTAGTAGGTTTCTTATGGCTGATAATATGCAGCTTATCATTGAAAACAGCTGTGGCTAAAACCTTAAGGTTTCTTCACTATTTACTCACTTTATACCTTTATCTACTTTATTTCAAATGTACCTATTTTTTTTAAAACAGCATTTTAAAGCTTAACTTGAATGAATTCCACATGAAGTCACAAAGATCTAATGCAGTGATTAAAAACAGCTTAGTTGAGAGGATATAACATTTTTTTGTTTTGGTTTGTTTAATGTGATCAACATGCAGATATTTTTATTTTATACCATACAAGAAGAACTACTGAAATAATTTTCAAATTTCCCATTAATAGATTAATTATTTCAAGGGAAAAATGAATAACTCTAGGGTTAGGATTAGAATGAATAAATTGTTAACCTGCTGAGCCTACTAGTAGGTTGAAGGCACAATCTGAAGCCATTCTATCAGACTGATAACCACTAGTAATGGCCATTTAATGGGATGATAACATCCGAAGAGGCTGCAAACAGCCAGTTTGTATTTACTGTGTAATGGAAAACGGAATCATCATGAGGAGGAACCCCATGAGATGATGTACAGGTCCTACCTATTAGGATGTTTTTATACTTCATCTTCACCTGCGGCCAGACAATTACACCTACATAGATACATTAATCCACTACCATTCAAATCATAAAACAGTTTTCCCAATGATGTTATCATGGTTACAACAGTCTATGGCAAGCCATTTTGATATGTATTAGTTTGAATGAATATGTATGTCTGATATCTAAAAGAAATTGTTTCCCCTGTCAAAATCAACATTTCAAACAAAAGGACATTCTTCACTTCTAGAATAAACATTCTGGATGTCTAAAAATAATTTCAGATCTCCATATTCCTATTGCTACTGGTCAGCATTTGTATTATTTTGACTAGGAATAAATGTATTTCAGATATCATAAATACATATTAAGTCAAGCTGATACATGTCAAAACAGACACTTCAAATGTGTCAATATTTCTAGGTAAGTACAATTTTGTCTCCATACTTTCTAATATTCAGTTTCTTCTGTCAAAAATGCATTTCAAAAATCTATAATTATAGTTTCAATTAGGAATACTATTTTGACTATTTTAGAGAACTACACATGGAACAACAGAGAGGAGAGTGCTTTTAATAGCAAAAACGCATTAACTTGAGCAACAATCTTCTCCTTCACCATCTCCCTCTCCTTTCCCAGATAGCTTACAGACATGGGCCACTTCAGGCAATAACCAGGCACTGTAAGCATTCATCTGGCCCACAAAAAACAGATGTATACCTAAAGTTTCCCACATACAGCTCTGCAAATGTGGCTGGCTTTACCTAAACGGATTTTGGCCAGTTAAGGCCGAAATATGGCAACTAAACATCCGCTAATATGGATGTGAGCCTAAAGTGGCTCACTTAAGCGCAGCAGTGCTACAGCTACAATTGCAAAGAGATAATGAAACTAATTGTGGTGAAATAATGTCATAGCTATGTTAAAAAAATAATAAATATTTAACCCTGGTTCTGTACCGTATTACTGCACCACTGCTGCCGACCCCCGCTTTTCGACCCCTAAACCTCCCCGTCAGCGAGTCATGTGCTTAAAGCCTTAAAACAGATAAATATAATATGTTCGATAATTTTGCTCTAAACACATGTATAGATCCCAGGAGGTAGTTGCTGCTTTGCCTAAATATCAACCCTGCAAAATTTGCAAGAGTATACAATCTCTCAGGGAAATTTAGAGGTCGACTTCTGTCTGTATAACAAATGGTGAAAGGGGGAAGTGATGTATGCCGTAAAGTAGTCTGCACATTTGTAGTTCTGCTGTGTGGCAGGGTTACTGTCACCCTCCTCAAAGTTGCTTAGTGCCAGTTAAGGCGATACAGCCCCTCTCTGGCCATGACAGAGGTGTCATTCAACTAGTTGCAAGTTGAAGTATAACCAAAACATTTAGGAAAATGTTTTTTGAAGGTTGAAATGTTACTTAGTGTTGGTTTAAGATCTATCTAAGTCTATTTTCCTAAGTCAGTGGGTTTTTTTTTTTTTTTTTGTTTGTTCTCTGTTGTATTTTTTCAGGTTGGAATTAAAATGCCATTTTGGGGAGGGCACTTTTCTTTTGTGAGCAAATTTAGACTCAGACTGACAAAAACTGATGTTTACATATCCTATCTAACAGAGCTGGGGTTTAGAAAGAAAAAGAAGCAAAAGCAGTTCACCTCTTTTGCCCTCTTGCTTGTATAGATGATTCCCAAAAAAGAGCTGTAATTTCAATTAAATTTGGTTTTATCATTAACTTTTTAGGCTTTAAGTCAACCATATGCTATAATTTGCGTATAATATATTAATTCTACATTACAGTTAGACACTACTGTGTTTTGGTCTCTCACATGGAAGCCACAACACATTTCTGTTCCTCCTATAGCAAAAATGTGCAAACTTTTAAGAGGTGTAAGTACTACGACTGCAAAGCATTCTGATTGATGGGGTGATGGTGCTTTTGTGGCATCAGCAGCAACTCTCATTAGGTTTTCCACTTGACTTTGCCCTCTGATTCAAGCCAAGCAAATTCAGGGCAAAAGGGGATTAGGTCCTCTGTGTATCTCCAGAAAGCAGATCCTTCAGCCCACTACAGTAGTGGACTTCTAATGATAGACTCACGATTATAGAAAATAAATAAATAAATCGATGGCCAATGTATTAGTCTCTAATCCCCCTAAAGGTTATGTAAGGGACTCAGCCCTTAAGTAGAAATGGTAGATCTATGGTCATGTGAGCATGCATTTGTATCCCAGCTGCAGATGAGGTGCGATGCCCACACATTCTCTTGGGCTTTACATATGCTGCAGATTGAGCCACACCGACGCTTGAGCACAAAGCCATGAGTCCCATTACATAAGAGGTTGGAATGTGATAGCAAGGGAGGTTGCAGAGTGTAAGATAAGCAGAGGAAGCAAAAATGAATCCTGGATTGTATGACTACAAAGCACCAAGGCATTTTACTTTTTCAAACACAGGAGATGATGGCCTAATGGATGAAACACTTCGCAGATAGAGAGAGAGAGAGGGAAATGAAACCCACAAAAGAGCAGCTGTCATAGAGCCACACTTTAAGTTAACTTGTCTCAGAATTCAGAAACATTTTGCTATGATCTCAGTGGCCTAATGGATATATGCATGAATCCTTTTTACCTCTGCCTCTACTCAGCAGATGGAGAGAATTAATCTGTTTTTAGTCATGAGGGACACAAGACCAGTGTTATTTTTGTCAGATTTCCATTAACACCTCAATCAACACTAATTAACACCATAACGCCTTTTGGTTCGCACAGGAGGAAAAGTACAGAGCCTCTCCCTTTCCTATTTTTCATTTCCCTCGCTTCTTCACACATTCACATTCTGAGAGTAAAACATGCATTAGCATATGTGAGCAGAATAGAAAGTACTTCTTGTAGAGAATATCATGCAAGTGGGAACCCTCATCCTCACCCTTATGGCAAAAATGTATTGGTTTGAAATCAAATGTGACTCAACTCCACCCTAATTTAAATAAACTGAAAGACCCCGAGGAGGGGGCCATTGCTGCAGATGTTCCCATTTCACTTCTTTACTTGCAGCCTGCGGCAAACTGACGGGCATCAGTGATCCAATCACCATCAAGACGTCTGGATCAAGATTTGGCTCCTGGATGACAGACCCACTGGCACCTGAAGGAGATACCCGGGTAAGTACTGCACATATTAGTGCTATTTTTTATAAAATGATTTAGACATATCAAAGATTTGGTGCTACAAATTCATAGAAGTATGAGGAGGGAGCTAGAAAAGGCTTGGACAATAATTTTTGAATCCCTGATCAGGTAAGATACACTATATTGCCAAAAGTATTTGCTCACCCATCCAAATTATTGGAATCAGGTGTTCCAATCACTTCCATGGCCACAGGTGTATAAATTCAAGCACCTAGGCATGCAGACTGTTTTTACAAACATTTGTGAAAGAATGGGTCGCTCTCAGGAGCTCAGTGAATTCCAGCGTGGAACTGTGATAGGATGCCACCTGTGCAACAAATCCAGTCGTGAAATTTCCTCGCTCCTAAATATTCCACAGTCAACTGTCAGCTGTATTATAAGAAAATGGAAGTGTTTGGGAACGACAGCAACTCAGCCACGAAGTGGTAGGCCACGTAAACTGACGGAGCGGGGTCAGCGGATGCTGACGCGCATGGTGCGAAGAGGTCGCCAACTTTCTGCAGAGTCAATCACTACAGACCTCCAAACTTCATGTAGCTCAAGAACAGTGCGCAGAGAGCTTCATGGAATGGGTTTCCATGGGCGAGCAGCTGCATCCAAGCCATACATCACCAAGTGCAATGCAAAGCGTCGGATGCGGTGGTGTAAAGCACGCCGCCACTGGACTCTAGAGCAGTGGAGACGCGTTCTCTGGAGTGACGAATCGCGCTTCTCCATCTGGCAATCTGATGGACGGGTCTGGGTTTGGCGGTTGCCAGGAGAACGGTACTTGTCTGACTGCATTGTGCCAAGTGTAAAGTTTGGTGGAGGGGGGATTATGGTGTGGGGTTGTTTTTCAGGAGCTGGGCTTGGCCCCTTAGTTCCAGTGAAAGGAACTCTGAATGCTTCAGCATACCAAGACATTTTGGACAATTCCATGCTCCCAACTTTGTGGGAATAGTTTGGAGCTGGCCCCTTCCTCTTCCAACATGACTGTGCACCAGTGCACAAAGCAAGGTCCATAAAGACATGGATGACAGAGTCTGGTGTGGATGAACTTGACTGGCCTGCACAGAGTCCTGACCTCAACCCGATAGAACACCTTTGGGATGAATTAGAGCGGAGACTGAGAGCCAGGCCTTCTCGTCCAACATCAGTGTGCGACCTCACAAATGCGCTTCTGGAAGAATGGTCAAAAATTCCCATAAACACACTCCTAAACCTTGTGGACAGCCTTCCCAGAAGAGTTGAAGCTGTTCTAGCTGCAAAGGGTGGACCGACGTCATATTGAACCCTATGGATTAGGAACGGGATGTCACTTAAGCTCATATGTGAGTCAAGGCAGGTGAGCAAATACTTTTGGCAATATAGTGTATATATACAGTGGGAAAAATAGATATTTGAACACAGTGCTTTGCAAGTTCTCCCACTTAGAAATCGTGGAGGGGTTTGAAATTGTCATCTTAGGTGCATGTCCACTGTGAGAGCCATAATCTAAAAAAAAAGAAATCCAGAAATCATAATTTACGATTTTTTAAGTATTTATTTGTATGATACATCTGCAAATAGGTATTTGAACACCTGAGAAAATCAATGTTAAAGGTATCGTTGATGATTTTTGACATCTGCCCTTTCCACTTAAAAAAAATAAAAATACACATGCACAACCCTGTACCCGCTCCCGAGAGGGAACGCCTATAAAACATATGTATGCGAGAGCATGCACAGGCCCATTTCTCCTCGTGCATGCTCTGTTTAGAAGTTGCTTACTTACTTTCCAAAAGAAGATTTGCAATTTTTCCACTATGCCAGGCTATGTCAGAGCTGAGTAATGCATAACATTAGAGCAAATATATTCACATGCGGTTCATAAAAATATTTTTTTTTTATTTCTACCAGACTGACTCTGGGTATGACTTTTAATGTTTCAGGCTAAGATTACCAGTCATTAGTTCCATTTGATAAATGGCAAAATAATGGGAGAGTTAATGTTTCAGGAGTTTTTTTTTTTTCTTTATTTAATTTTCCTAATTTACTTTCATCTATTCAGGAAATACACTACTCCAAAATATTAAAGGAACACTTTGTAATCATTGTATAGTTATTGTAATCTTTGCATAGCATCAATTTAATTAAACTTCTGGGATATTGATTTGGTCAGGTAAGTAGCATAGGGGATTGTTAATCAGTTTCAGCTGCTTTAGTGTTAATGAAATTAACAACAGATGCACTAGAGGGGCAACAACGAGACAACCATCAAAACAGGAATGGTTTTACAGGTGGAGGCCACTCACATTTTTTCCCCCTCCTCATCTTGGCTAGGGTCACTGTCACTACTGTTAGCATGAGGTGCTACCAGGACCCTACAGAGGTTGCACAGGCAGTCCAACTCCTCCAGGATGGCACATCAATACGTGCCATTGCCAGAAGGTTTGCTGTGTCTCCCAGCACATACTCAAGAGCATGGAGGGGATTCCAGGAGACAGGCAGTTACTCCAGGAAAGCTGGCCAGGGCAGTAAAAGGTCTACAATCCATCAGCAGGACTGGTATCTGCTCCTTTGTGCAAGGAGGAGCAGGAGGAGGACTGCCAGAGCCCTACAAAATTACCTCCAGCAGGCCACTGGTGTGAATGTCTCTGATCAAACAATCAGAAAAAGACTTCAGGAGGCAGGGCTGAGGGCCCGACGTCCTCTAGTGGGCCCTGTGCTCACTTCCCAGCACTGTGGAGCTTGATTGGCATTTGCCACAGAACACCGCAATAGGCAAGTCCGCCACTGGCGCCTGGTGCTTTTCACAGATGAGAGGAGGTTCACCCTGAGCACATGTTACGGACGTGAAAGGGTCTGGAGAAGCTGTGGAGTACGTTATGCTGCCTGTAAAATTGTTCAGCCTGACCGGTTTGGTGGTGGGTCAGTGATGGTCTCGGCAAGCATATCCATGGAGGGACGCACAGACATATAGAGGCTAAAGAACGGCACCCTGACTTCCATTAGGTATCAGGAAGAAATCCTTGCACCCATTGTCAGACCCTATGCTGTAGCAGTGGGTCCTTGGCTCCTCCTGGTGCACTACAATGCCCGGCCTCATGTGGCGAGAGTATGCAGGCAGTTCCTGGAGGATTAAGGAAATGATACCATTGATTGGACCCCCATGCTCGCCTGACCTAAATCCAATAGAACACCTCTGGGACACTATGTTTCGATCCATTCGACACTGCCAGGTTGAACCTCAGACTGTCCAGCAGCTCAGTGATGCCCTGGTCCATATCTGGGAGGAGATACCTCAGGACCCCATCTGTCGTCTCATTAGGAGCATGCCCCGACGTTGTCAGGCATGCATACATGCATGTGGGGGTCATACAAATGACTGAATACCATTTTGAGTTGCTGCAATTAAATTTCAGCAAAATGGACTAGTCTGCCGCATCATCTTTTCACTGTAATTTTTGTGGTGTCTTTGAATTCAGCCCTCTGTAGGTTGATACTTTTCATTTCCATCAAATGATGTGGCATCCTTTTCTTCCTAACACATCACCCAGTCCATGTCAGTATAAATAAACAGCATGATTTTTTTCCCCTGTTGAAATCTGATGTGTTTCAAAGTGTTCCTTTAATTTTTTTGAGCAGTGTACATTTGATTTTAACATAGCTGTTTTACTTTTTCAAAAATACAATTCTACATACAATATGAGTTAATTGGGGTGACAAATTGCAAACATTTTCATAATTTAAGAATTGTTAAATAACTTCAAACAGCGGCCATGTCTCTCCGATACTTTTTCATGGTGGTTTTCTCAACAAAACAAGTTCATTTTCTCATTATGTAAAGATAATGAAAGCAGTTTTCTTGTGATAACGAGATGATAATTTTCTCATTAGAAAGCAGTTTTCTCATCATAACGAGATGATTGATAAAACTGATAACATTCTTCAATACCACAACAGCGAGAGAGGATTTATAAGTATAATTCATGGCACCCTATGTTTAACTCCGTAAATAATCCTGTGTTTAAATTTTAGGTAACTAGAGGATGTTTTTGGTTTGATGATTTGCTTCCAATTCTGATTCATAAGCAATTAGAACGATGCCTCCGGTGCCTTAGCCCCAGATATTTCCTGAACAGCCCCGGTGTTACACCTGTAACAGGTATAAGATACATTAACCCCCAAAATAAGTCCAGATTAAAGATTTTGAATAAAAAAATGGCAATTTTTTTTCTACTGTATTCCATGCAATACAATCATCCACCATGACCTGAAAATGAGTGAAAATAAAAAGGAATCTAAAAAACATATTATTTACACGTGGTACCACAACTTCACTTCTACGGACACCGCAGGCAGAATCCAAGGCTCTTGGCCAGCTGCATTCATTGCTCAAACAGGTTAATCATCTTGTTATCTCAAGAAATTAATCACAGTTTTTTCGTGAAAACTAGATAATTATTGTGTTATTTTGAGAAAGCAATTAAGGGTTTAACCCTGATAACGAGATAGTTACGTCATTATGTCAAGCAGTGTTGTTTTTGACAGCCATCTTAGATTTAGTCTTAGTCTTCAGGACGAAAACTGTTATTTGTTTTAGTCACATTTTAGTCATTGCGATATGTGATAGTTTTAGTCGGTTTTAGTTGACTAAAACTTAAAAAGGTTTTAGTCTAGTTTTAGTCAGTTTTATGTTGCAAAAAAAAGTTAACCTTTACAATTTCGAATAACAACCAGATTCTTTACCAGACTGACATCTTTTGACTAGATACTACAATAGCTGGGTATAGAATGCTGCAGTGCAATTCATCACTGCTGTTGGGCGGAAAACTTTGATTCATAGAATTAAAATAAAAAATCTTTATGAATTAATGCCCTTTATAAGAAGGTGTCTCACAAGAGTTTTGAAAATAGCAGATGTAGTTCAACACATCATATTGTTTAATATAGCAGACAGATAACCTAACAAAATGTACAATAAATAAATGATTTTAGACACATGGTTTCCA